ATAAAAGAAGAATTAAATGCCGAGTTGAATTCCAAAACATTAGCTACATACACTTTGTCTGTCCGTCTTGTGCAATAACGTTTCTACATCCTCAACTGGATCTTAGCTGCCATTAAGCTAATGAATATCAAAACGAGGAAGCTTCTCACTTGCCATCACATGCATCATCGTAAGGCCAATGTTGGTCTTCAGTATTGTCACTAATATTCATCGGGTTGCTGCAAGCCAAAGAGAATGAATAATCTTTACTATGGATAAAGGACGACAAAAGAACATTTTTCAGGAAGACACAAGATGGCGCAGGAAGTTTCATTTAAAATTCTTTTAAGATTGCAGGTGTCAGGAAAGAAAGAACCAGCAAGGGCGTTCCACAGGCAAGAAGTACGCGAAAAGAAACTATTAGAATAGAACTTACAGCAACATCAAGCTAATTGAAAAAATAAAATGATGAGAGATATTTGCCAATCTAGTAGTACGTTTAAACTCATGGGGTCTGAATACCGCTGTACCGAAGAGGAGACCTCATCAGAAAACAAAAACAAACTACCATTTTTTTTTTATAGAGAAGACATGGCGGTGGAAAAGTGATTAAAGTAGAAATGTCAGATCACGACCAATAACATTAGAGGCCATACTTAGGAAATTGTCAAGAATCTTTCGATATATTACAGGAGCATCAGGCCAGAGATGACGGTAATATTCAATGCACAGAAGAGAAAAAATTGTCTGGCACATCGAAGAGAATTAACTTTATTAGGAGCAAAGCTATTAATTGACTCAATATATTAACTCCACTTCATGTCTGACCAAGAAGGCGCAGTTAATTACTCCATGGAGGTTAGCATCAGCCGTGTTGATTGAAGCTAAAAAGATGTTTCAATATAATGATTAAAAGCTAACGATTTCGTTTTGAAGTCGTTATAATACATAAACCATTTCTTGCTCCTGTTGACAGGTCAAAACATGAAAATCTAAAAATACATTTAAAAAATTACCAGAAATACATTGTTTGGAGGTGCACTATTTCCCCATAGCTGGAACCCCAACAGGTGCTACCACCCCAGTTCAGGGTAAACCTGGGAACATCAGTAGTTAAGAAGAGGTTCCACGCTCCACAAACCCTCCAATCTACAGATCAGAGGCCTTGCTGCCGAATGTAGTTTATCGTCATGCCTGTGATACAAGAAACACAAAACAAGTATACGAAGATTTATTTAGCCGATATAAATAATAGGAGAAAGCGGTTAAAATTAATGCAGAAACTATTTTGAAAGGCTTAAGATCATATCACGTTGAAACAAACGTTCTCGTATGTTCATGGAAGCTAAACAACATTTTAGCCCAGTCAAGTACCTAGTGGGTGAGAGCCTCCCTACACGGAAGCCAACAATCTGCCACTGGGTTGCATGTCACTAGCGTTTACCGCTAGTGGCCCGCTGTCGAACTGCCAGCGTGTTCGTCAAGGCAATGTTACCACTGGCGGACTGCTAGAAGCCAACCGGTGGTTGCCACCAGAAGACCGCTGGCGTTGCCATCGGCGGCCGTCAGCGGGCCACTAGCGGCTTGCGTGTAGGGTTGAGAATATCAGTTGCTGTAAACTTTGATGTGCAGGTGGTGCAATGGATTGGAAATCGAGGAACTTCCAGTCTCCCGATCAGAGGTCTTGCTGCTAGATGTAGTTTATCGTCACACCTATGATGTAAGAAACACAAAATAAGTATACGCAGATTTATTTACCTGATAGAGATAATAGGAGGAAGCGCTTAAAATTAATGTAGAAACTATTTTGAAAGCCTTACGACCATATCAAGTTGAAAATCATATGTTCATGGAAGTTAAGCAACGTTGAGCCTTAGTCAGTACCAAGTGGATGACCGCTTGGGAGTACCAGGTGATGTAAGCTTGGAGGTGCAGCTGGTGTAATGGATAAAGGCTCAGAATTGAAAATTGGAGAGCCTCCAGTTTCCCAATCAGAGGTCTTGCTGCCGGATGTAGCATATCGTCATACCCAGCACGCTGTTCATATCGTATCCACCATGTAATTTCTTTTTTACCGTGTCACAATAAATTTAGTCTCCATAATATCGTACCAAAATGTTGTTGCTGTAATTTCCGTTGAAGAACTTGTGCTAAAATTCATTTAGCTGCAGAATGAATACATTATTTCTACACCGATTTAAAAATTTGTGATTAGCACTGAATTCGCTCCTCATCAAATCTTTCCTTGACTTCAATAACGACGAAAGAAACTTAATCTAGTGCAATAATTTCAGCGTTCTCTACACAAATTTAAATTCGCATTTCGATTATCGGGAAGTGGAAGGAAATCACTTTCAATATACTCGACAGAAAATAGCATGGAGGTGATTCCCAATTATTTATTACTTTTTTTCTGATTGCTCAGTACAAACTTTATTAGTTTGTCGTGTTTCTTTAGATTTCACGTTAAATTAATGCGATTTCAACTTACCAGCCTATGTCAGAGGCCTTATTGCCGGATGTATTTTATCGACATACCGAAGACCAAAAGAAGAACGCCATTTTTGCTCTGATCTGACTCTTGCAAAGATCATGCATGGGAAAAGGAATCGGTTATTTTCTGTAGGGATACAGACAGCCGACCGTTCTTCCACAATCTTCAGCGATCTTGCATGTGTTGAACTTTAACCCCAATAAACGTTCGAAGGGGAAAGCCACATTAAGAGGTGCAGTCGTTCATCACGACTGAAGTAAATTCAGAAGCCACTCGGTGATGATGAAACTTCACTAGCTTGTCTTTGGAGGTATTAAAAGTTGCAAATTATTCTTCCCCAAATAGAGCAGTTAGTGCTAAATCAGAGTATAGAGCATCTTGTCTGTCTCTTATATTGAATTTTGAAGGTAACCCTCATAATCTGTATAGATATTTATTAACGATCTGAGAATTTGCCAAGTCAGAGCAAGCCAATTTATAGGTCTCTTATGTAAGACACCTATAAATTGGATTAATATGGTGTGATCGATTGCAGTTGATAAGCGGTACAGTCAATTAAAACTCGGCCTTGTGCCGCCATATGCAACCCTCGTGGGGGGGTGCTAGATACCGAAATAAGCCGTGCATCTCGGCTTGACGATCGAACTCCTTTGAGCAGAGAGGAATCCGGACGAGGCTCCGACGAAGGGCAGAGTTTCGTTCGGGGAGGTTGACAAACTCGATTCGGTTTTTACAGTTTCTACGGGCATTTTTTTTTTGGCCGAGCCTACGGGCTCGAAAAACACACGTTAATCTCGGCCTTTTGCCATATGCAGCCATCGTGGGGGGGATAGATATCGAAATGAGCCGAGCTTCTCGGATTGACGGTCGAACTCTCTGCCTCTGAGCAGAGAGGGACCCGGACGAGGCTCCGCCGAAGGGCAGAGTCTCGTTCAGGGAGGTTGACCAACCCGATCCCGTTTATACGGGTTCTACGGGCATTTTTTAGCCGAGCCTACGGGCTCGGGAAACCCACGTTAAACTCGTCCTTGTGCCATATCTTTCTCTCGGGGGTGGGGTGGGGGCTAAGTAAATACTGAATCGAGTCGAGCCAATAGTAGTTCACTCCAAGCCAGACTGACAGTCATACTAACACCTTCCACATCTTGTATTATTATTTCGTGTAATATACCTTCGTAATTTCTACTCTTGTGTTCGTGTTTTTCTTCCTTGGTCTTAACCTGGACCATAACAGTATTCAAAGTGATGTGGATTTTATAACTGATTTTCTCACGGCTTCAAAAATGTTCAATATGCGCACCACACGTGACACATCACAAGCCGATTTGGTAGTCCAGCTCCTGCCAAGCACGCTGTAGACTGTACTGCGTAACACTGCTTAAGTTCCTCTAAACTTATAGCAAGAGTGGAGTCTTAAACCTATCCTTTCATAGAAAGAAAGTCACATGGTGTCAAGTCAGGTGAACGTGGTTGCCATTTCAAAAATACATTGTCATTATCACTGGCACTCTCGATCCATCTTCCTGATAGATTCTCATTGAGATATGTCCGCATATTGTGAAACGTTATTCTCTTTTTGCCCTCATTTATTTTACCTCCATTTCAGTTTCCTTTCATCGCAACAAATCAGGTCGTACTGATACATTGAGACTGACGGTATAAAGAGTTGCGACGAAAATCAGCTAAAATTAAAATGAAAGAATTATTTATCAGTTAGTAATGTTTGACAGGGGTAATGATATTAGAATAGTCGTTTCCTTCCAAGAAACATTTGACATTAATTGACTGAACATTTTGCGTTACTCGGGCTTGAAATTTAGAAAGTTATTTAGTATGTTGATTGATTCGTTTTATATAGCTTATTAACCCTTTACAGTTTATTTAAAGCCAGAAAATATTTTTGAATTATAAGAATTATTTTTAGATAATATAGGTGTACCGATGCAAGTCTTACTAATAAATCCATAGCTGGAGTCGGGAAAAGATATAGATTCATAAATTTCCAAAAGTTATTTGCGCGTAAGTGAACATAACGAACACAGTGCATTAGGGAGGCTATTACAATTATTTTTCTTTTTTGATTGGTTGATTAACATGAATGGAAATAAGATAAGGTTGGGTAGAATCGGTTCCAGCCACACTGTTCCATGTATTTGTTTTCATGTATAAATCTCAGTGAGGGGAAACAATGATCGTTACCACTTCTAGGCGAACGCGTCTCCATATTTCTTACCAGAGCGAAACCATTACCGCTTTTACTTCCTTTTTTATGGGAGAGCGTAGGTTGCTGGTAAACCAGAATTTATCCGTTACCGGACAATAGATTGCCAAGAGGAGTCGCATTATGTGGAGATAATAGTTTACTGATACAAGTCTTACTAATTAACCCATAGAAGTGGGTAGAAGAGATTGATTCATAAGTTTCCCACGGTTATTCTCGTGTAAGTGAACCCAACGGGAATTAGAACTCGGCTCTCCGATTAACAATTTCGAGCCATTATTTATTACACCACCTCCACATCCAAGTTTACAGCATCTGATATTTCCAAGAGATCACTCTTCGTGGTACTGACCAGGCTCGATGTTGCTTAACTTCAGTGATCGTACAGGAACCGATGTTTCAAAGTGATGATGCCGTAAGCATTATTGAGTAGTAACAGTAATATAAACTGAATTTTTATTAGATGAAGTTTCCTGAAACTTTACTAACTTTTTAATTTAATTTTTAATTTTTATTTCTTTACTTTAATCATAGTTACACTTCATCTCTCGTAATTAAGCCGCGTTGGTAGACTGAGGATGATGTCATACCTAACTGTGAAGAAAATGTCGTAAAATTAAAATGAAAGAATTGATAATGAAAAAAAATCATAATGCTCGACAACGCTTAAGGCGATGGTGAAATAAGCCATTTCCATGAAGAAAATACGAAATATTCATCGAGTGAAGAGTTAGTGTTACGGTCGACTGGAAAACATAAAATGATTTTCGTAAAGCAATGCTTCAGGAAATTAGAATACTCAAGTCAACTAACTTTTATCGCTTTTTCTAATATTGATGTAAGCTTCTTCCAGACCTTTCTTGTGAGCTTAACATCCTGATTGTATCATTATTTTCCCTAGTAGCATATGTATATATTCTTACAATTTTTAATGTGGCTGTTATTGTAAATCTTCAAACGATGAGGTTTTTTTTTATTTCCCTTTAGTTATTTTGTATCTCCGATTTGTAGAATCTGTTGAATTATTCGTATCTTTAGCATTTAAAGGATTTATACGTTTGAAATTATTTTAATCACTGACCAACGTATAAAAACGAAAACTTAGATATTTTTGAACGTGTAGAACTTCATTCGTTACCTACACATGAGAGTTGATACTTCCCTGTCCCAGGGCTCCGTCCCTGTGTGCTGGTGGTATCACGGCTACGACTAGCTTAGACCAGCTATGGCAAGCCAAGACCAGCTATGACCAGCTATGACCAGCTTAGACAAGCTATGACCAGCTTAGACCAGCGGCCGGAGTGAAAACATTCGGGTCTCCACGTTAAAAACTGACCCTGTGTCACGACCTGACTCAGTGGTGGTGGTGGTGGGGGGGGGCAAGTAAATAAAAATACAAGTGAGAGTATTGTTCGGACAAAGCAATTTAATTATATGGCAAGTTTCTTAATTTAATCTTCTGATTTTGAAGGATTTTGCGATGATGGACAAAACTGAACTTAATGTTAATTTAGTTATTAGCTATTAAAACAAATAAAATTAGTTAGAGAATAGACCTAATAGCTCTCTAGCAGAACTCTAAATCCTGATATGCGCTACATAACTGGTTTAAAATAGTTCGAATCTCTATCTATAAAAGGCAGGATGTGTGTGTGTGTGTGTGTGTGTGTGTGTGTGTGTGTGTGTGTGTGTGTGTGTGTGTTACGAATGCATGGCCGCAATTTTCGACGGATTTGCACCATGCACATGCTCCAAGTTAGCGGGAAGGCCAATACCGATTTTGCATTTCCCAACTCACATCGATAGTCGAAATAATCGATGTTTTCATGCTTCTACGGCAGTTTTCATGTAGTTTTCGGCCATTTTCTACTGGCCAGAGTGAGAGCCAATACCTGGCTGCCACCAATAGGCAGGAAGATTCTATTGGCCAGCGTGAGAGCCAACAGCTGACTGACACGAATGTTAACTAGCATGATAGCATGCAAAAACAATCGATAGCTGCATTCGTCACAAGTGGGAAAAATTTAAATCTGCATGGTACTTTACTACAATTGGCTCATTCGCTTGCTTAAACTCAACGTTGATTCTGATTCCGCAGAACTGGGTTGGGTGTAAAAAAGTATTTGTTGTTAACATTCTTTTTTCATTCGGTTTTTCCAGTTACGAGTCCTTTTTTAAAGCTGATCGTTTTGTGTTCATTTTGTTTAGTTCTTTTTTCGTAACAGATTTAATGTCTAGTATAGAGCTTAGAAAAAATTTCTCAGTGTGAGATAGGCAAGAAGTAAGGCATGTAGCAACATAAACATGGCAAAGGGCACTTTCTTAAAGGCAAGGAAGGGCAAAAATATTTTAAGTCACGTGATAGCGATTGTACGATTTTTGAATCAAGCACGTGCAACTCCGGGCTATGCTGCTAGTCATTGCTATAAAATAAATTTAACAGCTTACTCTTGCACACAGACCTAAGATTACCATTGATGTTGCATTTAAATTTTTGAAGGTTGTAAGTGGCAAAGAAGCAAGAAAAGAGAATTCCAACAGGCGAGAAATAAAACTTATACGGTTACATCTAGGTAAGTCACCATTAAAACGATAAGACTTAGTTCCCAATCTAGTTGTACGCTTAAGTTCATGCTGTTGAGATACGGTTGAGAAGAACTCCTTAGGAAACTAATATGAAAATATTTATAAAAAAAAAGTCAGTGGGAAGCCACAGTGACGTGAAAGTGTCTGATTTGGAATTGATTTTATCCCAAACCGCAGGAAATAAAGGCAAATATTTTCAATGTTCGATAATACTTATAGACAACAACTCTCCATTCAGGCATTCACTAACTTTTAGTCTGTTTTCTCTAGACAGTCATTCTTTTTCTCTCTCTTACTATTTTTTTTTGTTTAAATGGGACATAAATTGTCATGATTTATGTGAAACAAACACGTTAAATAATGAAAAAAAGAAAAAATATAAATGCTTGCCTTTGAATGCGGCAATAGGATAAAAAGGAAAAGCTATAAATATTGCAGCTCCTAAGATTTATGGGATTATAGTTTCTTTTTTAACATATATCTAATTTTATTTCCACGATATGTTTCTATATGTGTATGTAATTAAAACTCATGCTAGTCAAGTTAATTTATCAGAATGGTGACACACACACACACACACATATATATATATATGTGTGTGTGCGTGTGTGTGTATTTATGTGTGTAAAAATTTACATATAAATAAAATATATTTGTAACGACAATAAAAGACAAAAGGAAAAGTTATCTTTACCAAAGAGGTTCGTCCCCTGAGGAACTTTATCGTGGCAAATGTCATTTACTTTTAAATCTTTAAAAAATTTTGAAACTTTTAAATTAAAATTTAATTCCCTTTTCAGTGTACTGTTTCTTCCAGTTATTTTGGTGTGTGATGACAACACTCTGAAATTGAGAACGATCTTATTTCATTTGAAAAATAAAGCCTGTAAAAATAAATAAAAGGAACCTATTTTTGGTTCTTCTTGACACCATCTGCATTTGAAGTCAATGCATTTTCGCTGTCTTCCAATCCATATTAACTTATTTTTTTTTTTATTTCTGTGATAAAACTATGTGCGATGTGGTATAATGGATATCGAATCTGGATAAGAAACCGGAGATTTCGAATTCCATTCGGGTTCGTTATCTTCACTTACGCACAAATATTCATCTACCCCCCCCCCCCCGGGCTATGGGATGAATTATCAGAACTGACTGGATTCTATGGCTTTGGATAGCAACCTGTCTGCCGCAGAAAGTAATGACAACGTACTGCGGAGAAATATTTATCAATATTTAGTGCCTTAACCATTTTTATTAATTACAGCTTCACATCACCTAGGCATCGAACCTGATAAGTGAGCACAAAAATCATTTGGAATGCTCTGCCATATTTGCTTAATATAATCGTATAATTGGGATAAATTTGTCGGGTGTTTTTAGCGTAAACTCTTTTAGAAATATAATTCCAAAAACTTTTAATCGTCTTAAGATCCGGACACTGTGGAGGCCACAAAATAACGTTCATATTATGTTGATCAAACAATTTCATTACTTTTTTGGCTTTGTAAATGTAGCTATTATTTTGTTGATGAATAGCTCTAGGTGGTATTTGCTCAGTCAAAAATGGCAGAACATGTCCCTTAAATACACTGTTGAGTTTTTCATCAACTTTAACAATTCGACCAATACCAAAGCTACTGAACGCACCCCAGAGCATTACACACCTGCCTCCCGCTTGCGACGTCTTTTTGACATATTTAAGATGGAATTGCTCGGTTGGGCGGCGTCTGACAAAGGTTTTTTTTTTTCCCTCCGATCCAAAGATGCTAAAAGCGTGACTCGTCACTCCAAAAAACTCTATACCAGTCGCCGGCCGTCCATTGAATGTGACTTTTTGCGAAATTCAGCCGCTTGAGTTGATTCCTCTCCGAAATAATTGGCTTTTTTATAGCAACACGCCCGCATAATCCAAATTTTCTTAGACGGTTTCGGACAGTTTGCGGCGTACAACTAACGCCAATTTTAGCAGATAATTGGCTGCAAATGTCCACAGACGTCAGCATTCGTTTAGCTTCGAAAAGCCTATGAATTCGTCTATCCAGTTGCATTGTTGTTTTTCTTGGGGCTCCCGATCTTTGCCTATCCTTATATTGTCCAGTATCCTGGTAAAGCTTCCAAACATGAACACAAGCCGTTTTACTGCACTTTAATTGCTTGCTTAAGTTCATAAAGAAATGTTTTATTGAAGTAACACTTTTTCATCTAGCCACTGGGCTAAGACTAAGATGCTTTCTCATAGTGAATTAATTGTATAACAATGCTCACTTATTACACTATATAATGCATTAATGACCAGTCATGTGACCACCCATTTAGCAAATAATTTGCTTAATACCCATATATTCTTAAAGTTATTTTGGCAGTAAATTTATATTAATCCAGATTTAAAATTTTTACATCTTTCGAAAGAGAAATAAAGTCTGCATAAAGCGTATACAATAAAATTAATTTATATTGTTTTATTAGAAACATATTCTGAAATGAATAAAACTTTAACCATCGGTCTTAAATTTATTTGCGCAAGTGTATATATATATATATATATATATATATATATGTGTGTGTGTGTGTGTGTGTGTGTGTGTGTGTGTGCGTGTACTACGCAACAGTACGCGCTTAAACTTTAAGGTTTTAAGCAGTTTTGATGAACATTTCTTTTCATCATTAGCCGTTAGGTGTTTCAAATGTCGGACTACCTTGCGCTTAAGCAAAATAATAATAATAATTATATTTATTAAGAATTTATTACAAGAAATATCAAGTTTTACGGAAACATTGTTGCAAATTATGTATTTAGTTACATAACAAATGAAAATAATATACATTTTAATGCTATATTCGATTTGTTAGGTATTTTTCATTTTCTCCTTTGTTATTGGAAGCATTTTAGAATACTTTGGATACAATGTTAAGTTTCCTAAGTTGATCAAACTGGAGCTATTTCGTTTACGCTTAGTTACCTCTCTTTTTCACTGTTGTTTTTAGACCGCTTTCTTCCAGGCATTTTGATGGGCAGTAGCAAAATTCTGAAATTTAGAAGGATCCTATTCCATTTAAAAAATAAAGCCTGTAAAAATGAATACTTTAAATTAATATACGACCAAAAATAAAATGCTTTTGACAATTTTTTGTTGAATACTCTCCTCCTCCGTGGAAATTGTTATATACAGTGCTGTTCGATAAAAGTGACTCACCTGATTTTTTTTACTAAATGTTCTCTTCTCCGATGAAACGAAAGTTGAGCTAAATTCAAAGGATTGCTCAACTGCTTTCTCGAGAGCCTGTATTTTATAATGCTCCATAAGTTTTCTATTGGGTTGTGGTCAGGAGATTTCGGCGGCCATGTCATAATACTCACCTGCTTCTCATCAAAGCATTCTTTCATCAATTTTGATTTGTGACAGGGAGCATTATATAATGTAATCGATCCCACGGTGCAGGAAAGTGGCTGTGAATTCTACCGGGACTTGACCCAAGTCTTGTGAGAAAAATCGGGCAGACGGAACTGTTTTTGCTCGCACGAAGTCACAAGTCATCGTAGCCGAGAGTCTGAGCGTACAGGTCTTGTTCACTATTGATCAAGCTTGATAATGCGCTCTACCCCTGGAACTGTAACTAAGGTCCCTTCAGTATAGATGCGGTATAATCCACAGGTATTTTCTGTGCGTGTTAAACAAACACAAATGTGCCTGGCCAGGCGTCTCTAACAGGGATTGTCTTGTAATCCTAGCAGGTAGGCATACTCGGATACGAGCGGTCAGCCATTATTATTTACGAATGTGAAGATGGATACTGAGGCTGTCCCCCAGGGGCGGCAGCCTGTTTGTTTGTTAACGTAATCTTCACAGATATGGCACGAAGCCTGCATGAAATAGCCTCTCTTCTGACCTCAGTGTCCACTATTATACATTAATAAAATGTCCACTATTATACATTAAGAAGTCACCTTCCTGATAAATCAACCACGGGACTCATGGTCACAAAGCGAACGTTCTAACTATATTATATATATATATATATATATATATATATATATATATATATATATATATATATATATATATATATATATATATATATATACACTAATAGTAATACTAATTTGGAAAAAAAAACTCGGATAGCACAACTTGTAGATATGTCAAAACAAATCGGTACCTGAGAAAGAATTGAAAAAAAAATAGAAAGCACTAAAAACATCAGAACAGGACGAAACAAATCGTCCAGTGCATTAAATCTTAGATAAATAAGTAAATTTGACCTTGTCTACCGAAAGGTTCTTTGTGCCCCAGAGGTTAGGCACGTCAGCGTAAATGACGGTTCTGTATAGGATGCAGGTTCGAATCCTGTCAAAGAACGAATATTTTCTATGAAAATTTCTCGGACATTCAGGCCGGTAAATGTTATTTAATACTGTTTATCATAAACAGAGCATTTGCTTAAATACTTGTATCTATAAATAACAACGTTAAACATAAAAAAATGTCTTTAATAAATATATATATATATATGAGCACTTATATATATATATATATATATATATATATATATATAAGTGCTCAATATGCATATATATTTATCATATATGTATATATATATAATTTCTCTTTGTTTACATTTGGATACGAAACGGCGTGCAGATATGAAAATCTTCAAAACATCATTGACAAGAGAAATTTCCTCTTGAAAGCATAAAATTTTGTATCGCCTGACCGTTTGCCTCTTCGTAGGCAAAACAGTATAAACGATGGCTCTCTCTTCCCTGAGAGATGCAGGTTCGATTCTTGCTGAAGAACGAAAATTTGTGTTTAATACGATTACTCTAAATTTCAGGCCGGTAATATTACAGAAATTGGAAACTGAAGAAGCTTAATGCAACATCCAGATTGCAATACAACAAACTCCTGAGCGACCCGAACCTTAAAAGAAAAATACATGGACAGTGTTAAAAAAAAGATACGAGGGACACAATAGAAATGGAAACTCGAAATGGGAGGCACTAAGAAAAGCTTTAGTGACATCAGCAAATGATATCATACAAAAGGAAAATGAACGAAGATAAAAACGTATGGATGACTGATGAGATTATCGATACGAAGCAAAGGAGACAGAAAAAAACTTTGCCAAGATATGGAACGGAATACACAAAACTACACAACGAAATAAGGACCAAAGGCAGGCAGGCAGGCTAAAGAAGAGTGACTAGACAAAAATTTG